TTACTGGGTTATTGCTTTTAAATATTGTTATATTACTATTTTTTAATTCATGTCTGAATTTTTGATAAATGTACTATTTTTGGTTAACTGAAAATTATTTTTTAACACTATTATATTACTGATTTTCAAAACTATATTAGTTCAAACACTATATTACTATTTTTGAATATGACACTATGTACAGCAATTATATGTATATTATAAATAGGTATGGTACGTAATAATCGTCTACAGATGTAAAAAAACGTACTCAGAAATTATGGATAATTACCAATATGTAAATAAACTTAAAAAACGAAGTAATAATCGCTTGAAACTCTTGGCAATCAATTACAACGCTTAGCAAGTAGAGCTACGATAATGATGAGCCTCCAATTTTAAAAAATTGTATTACTGTGATCTTGACAATGACCAACCAGACTTTTAGTAAACGTATTACTAACAAATGTAAAAAATTTACTGCTAAATAATTTACCTTGCACTCAGTTACTAGGACAATCAGTTAGATTAAACTATAAAACCAAAGGAATCAAGTAGCCATTTTGTAAGTTTGTTATTGTAAATTACAAGATTTGCTGAGTTCTTTGAAATCTATACTGATCTTCATGAAGATAAAGAATTAATATTAATTCATGTTTCATTTGTTCATTCACTAATTTTGCTGTTGACATAAATTTTTAAAAATGACTGCTAAATAACTGACAGTAGATTCAGTCATTAGAACAATCAGTTAGATTAAACATCAAAACCAAAGGAGTCAAGTAGCCATTTTGTAAGTTTGTTATTGTAAATTACAAGATTTGCTGAGTTCTTTGAAATGTATGCTAATCTTCATGAAGATAAAGAATTAATATTAATTTATGTTTCATTTGTTCATTTACTAATTTTGCTGTTGACATAAATTTTTAAAAATGACTGCTAAATAACTGACAGTAGATTCAGTCATTAGAACAATCAGTTAGATTAAACATCAAAACCAAAGGAGTCAAGTAGCCATTTTGTAAGTTTGTTATTGTAAGTTACAAGATTTGCTGACTTCTTTGAAATGTATGCTGATCTTCATGAAGATAAAGAATTAATATTAATTCATGTTTCATTTATTCATTCACTAATTTTGCTGTTGACATAAATTTTTAAAAATGACTGCTAAATAACTGACAGTAGATTCAGTCATTAGAACAATCAGTTAGGTTAAACATCAAAACCAAAGGAATCAAGTAGCCATTTTACAAGTTTGTTATTGTAACCTACAAAATTTATTCACTTGTTTTGAATTTGTGTATTTATTATTCAACTTCATTTTCAATTTTAAAATTTAAATTATACGCTGATAAGATTAGTGTTAATTTCAATGTATTACTACGTTGTGGAAGACCACTTATACTTAGATGTTGTGTGAAATCTGCATATAAACCAGTTACAGTCGATTAAAAAGTATATTACTACGCTAATGGTTGCGAAAATATTAATTAAGTAGATAAAGCCCGATAATGCGCTGTATAGATAGAACATTTTTCGAATAAAAGGAAAAAGAAGAAGAATGTTTACGCATAAATGTTTGTCACGTTTTATCCTTAAGATGCTAAATATTCATTTATAAACGTATAAAAAAAAAACGATTGCGATTATTGTTATCGTGCGAAACGATTGTCAAAAAGAATAATATTTATCGAGTTGGATAATCCGCGAACTACGGAAGACCAAACATGTTTTCTAGGGAATTTACCGATTTCAACGGAGCTGACTCAGCCGGCGATATCCCCCTAGTTACGCTTTGCATTTAGCAAAATTGCGTAAATTAACGTAAATTTGCGGAAAGAAAATGTTTGCGTTCGTTGTTTTCATTCGATTCGAACGTGATTTTTTTCAAAGAAGATAGATATTTTATACTTTAATTTGAACAGAGAGATACTCACGCTTATACTTGCAAAATTATGGTAATATGTTTTTAACCCGTTAACTGCGGAATTTAGTTTCAAAAAATGGCACAAAAGAGTGCTGAGTTAAAATCAAGCAACAATGTGTATTATACATCAAACGCATTGTAAATGGTCCTACTATAAATTTTTACAAAAAATGAGGAATGATTATATTTTTATTTAGCAAAAAAAAGTTAACAGTTTATTTTTGAATATGTTATTTTTAATAAAAGCTTGAAAATCGATAAAAAATAATAAAATAAATAAAAAAATAAGACAAAGTTAAAGGAGCAAAGTAATTTAGAAAATTTCAATTTAAAATTTATTTAAATGCTATTATCATTCTTATTATTATTATTATTATTATTGCTATTAGTATTGCTATTATTATTTTTATTATTTATTTATTTTCTTTGTTCAATTTACTGTAACATAAAGAGTAAATAAAACCAAATAATATTCTTACCACGTTTTATAAAATTTTCGATTTTATAAAATTTTTGTAGTCAATGATAATTTTTTATCTTACACGACGTGTATATACTACAACCATATTGTAGTAGAGATTCGACGACTACACACGTCATACACGTAATTAACTGGTCATCTTATTATTGCGAACCTTTGTGTAACACAAAAAAGATTCTTCTTGTATCTGAAAGAGCAAAGATCGAGGGATTGCTCGTCTTCAATTTTCTGACACGTTATTTTTTTCACGCTTCAAAGATAACGGTGGTTGTTGCTTAAATAAATGTTTATGCAGGGAAAAATTTATACACAGATATTTTTTATTTGTTGTTAAGCCGGTCGTTTACTTCAGTAATTTTCACTGTAGTTTAAAATGAATTTAGAATGGTATTATTATTAATAACAAATTTTGTATTCGTAGAGTCAAATAAGAGCTAATTACGATTGATAAAAAGTCAGTGATATTACTAGTCGATACCTTAATAATAAACAAGATACTGATTATGGAAAACGTAGTACTACGTCATCGATAAACAGCTGTGTACTTCGAAAAGATATGATTACTGCGACATCAATCAGTTACAAGTTATAACGAAACATGCTCTTGAGTTTGAGTATTTTTAGAATTCGCGAAGACGTAGTAGTACGTCATTAATAATTAGTCATGACTTAAATATATTTCTATGTTTAACTACGTTCACAGTCTACGCATAACAGTACGTCTGTAACTACTTATAAAATTATACGTTCTACTTATAATTTATAATAGAACGTTCTACTACGTTAGTAGCTAGAACGTACTTATTTTTATAAAAACATAACATCAATTATAATAAATTACACTACATATAACAGTACGTTTGTAACTACTTACAAATTTAGTCCTACTTACAATTTACAATAGAACGTATTACTACGTTAGTAGCTATAACATACTTATTTTTTAAAAAACATAACATCAATTAGAATAAATTACACTACATATAACAATACGTCTGTAACTACTTACAAATTTAGTCCTACTTACAATTTACAACAGAACGTATTACTACGTTAGTATTATAGCTAACATGCTTATAAATTTTATAAAAACATAAAATCAATTAGAATAATTAAAATTAAAGTATATTAAAAAATTTATTACAATAATATTTGTAAATCAATTATGAATTTTAGAGCAACGTAGTAGTACGTCAATAGAAACCTTTTTAAAAATCGTACAGCAATAAACTTCGTAAACACATAGTTTGTAGAATTATGAATTACAGGAAGACTAGTACATTTCCGTCGGTTATAAATTTTTAAATTATATATCAATGAAAACCACTTATAATGTATAAAAGAACGTAGTACTCTGGTATAAATAGAAACTCTGATATGAATTGATAGAAACGTAGAAACAATCATCAACGATCGATTACAATTTACAGAACGTACTACTACGTTATTATTAAACAATTCATTCCAAAATTATTTATTATTATTTATCCAAAAATAACGTAGTAGTACGTTAACAATCGGTTACAATTTACAGAACGTACTACTACGTTATTATTAAACAATTCATCCCAAAATTATTTATTATTATTTATCCAAAAATAACGTAGTAGTACGTTAACAATCGGTTACAATTTATAGAACGTACTACTACGTTATTAATAAACAATTTATCCCAAAATTATTTATTATTTATCTCAAAATAACGTAGTAGTTCGTTAATAATCGGTTACACCTCATAAAACGTAGTAGCTGATGGTATCTTAATACAGAATAAAAAAGGACCTAGATAGAAAAGGATTATAATTAGCGCGATTGAAATTCACCAAATATAGAGTAGAAAGTGCTTTCGAGTACAGTAAAAGCGTGAATTGATTAAACTTGAATTCAACAGACACGATAGACGTATTAAATCTGCAGATAAAGAAGAAAGTTTCCGTACTCATAACAAGTTCATTGAATATAGAGCAATAAAAAATAATTAGTTATTAAATAAAATTATTCAACACATTATGAGCTACCCTATTTTTATTTGTATTATCTTTAATAGTACAAGATGTTACGGTAATTTTAGATTTTCTTTTTTTACAAAGTTTGTTGATTCTCTGAAAATTATATGTCCTTTTTATAAATTCCCTTCGGGAAAATCGAATTCAATTTCGACAAGCAAATCTGAAACTCGTGACTTGGTTAAATGCCAACATCTCGTTCTTTTCAGCTTTGTGTTGATTGAATCGAATTTGGCCTTCCTTGTTTGTTTAATCGCAAAATCTGATATTCTATTTTTAATGAATATTGCAGAATATTTTATACGTTCAATCGTGCTGACTTTACTTCAAGTAACGTTCAAATGAAAAAAAAGTGAATTACTAATATTAAAAATAAATTATTAAAATTATTATTAAATATTTCATTTATAATTATCTCTAAATGAAATTAGAACTTATCTAAATGAAAAATTAAGTTATTAAATTACTTCAATTAATATTGCAATAATAATTGCCTTAATTTAAATTAAAATTGCAGTTATTACAATTAATTAAAGTCATTTGCAATTAGTGTTACTAAAAAAAATTATTACATTATTAAATTTTTGCAATTAACGTTAATCAGCAATTTATATATTTCAAAACGATCCTCCAAAATTTCCCATTTTACCACATTGCATTAGGGTTATTAAAAAATAATCTTTCAAGTACCAGGTACGGCACAAAGTACATATTTAACAATATTAATTAACTTGCTCCTTACGTGGAAGCTATTGAATGAGACGGTGAGTCAAGTTTAATCGTAATACTGGGAAAACTCAAGTGATAAAATGTTGAGAGGTAATGATAGTTAATAAATGGATCCAATTAACAGACATATTACTCATTGAACTTCTTCTTCATACAGATAAATTATCTCTGATTATCAATCAATTTTATAATGATATCGAGTGATCACGTTGTCAGTGTCTGCCACGATAGCGATTTCATAACGAAATTATATCATTACAACTATTACAGTTTGATTCAAATTTAAAAAATTGAGGACCTCGCTATAGTGCAAATTATTTTCAAATAGTTTTACAACCTCACTATATCATGAGGATTATTAATATTCATATTTCTATCTTTACTTATATTTACATAAAAAATTATGTATTGAAACAATTCAGATTTGTTCTAAAACATTGTATACAAATTAAAACAATTTACAATCTCGCTATATCATAGTGCAAATTATTTTCAAATAGTTTTACGATCCCACTATATCATGGGAAGCATTAATATTTATATTTCTACGTTCACTTATATTTACATGAAAAAATATGTATTGAAATCAGATTTGTTCTAAAAGAATAAAGAAATTTCACCATACCTGATTTTTGCACGAATCAGTTATATTTAACGCGACAATTCAGGTAGTTTTGTAATATAACCACAATGTGTGTACACACCCAAGATAAGAATAGACACTAATTAAATAGATCACACGGATACACCCACCTAATTTCCCCCATTCTGTCTGGGTCTATTTACCATCAACTTAAATTTTAACGTATAAAGCACTTTCTTTGGAAGATGAAGTATCAAAACAAAAAGTATCATTCGGCTGAAGTTCACTCTGCAAAATTTTAAATTGTTTTTATTTTGTAACACTACTTTTTTGGATGGGAGCCAAGTATAAAAAAAATACGTTAACAATACTTACTCGATTTTACATGTTTTCATACAAGTGGCAAACTTAATTTTTTAGAAGTTATTTTACACCTTGTAATTGAACATACATGCTGAATAAATTGAACAAATACTCTTCAGTGCAGCGGAAAAAATTGTGTATAGGCATTTCGTGATTTTGAAATTTGCTTGCAGTTTTCATAACGCTAAGATCCGACAGTTGATTGTAACCGCTACTGCATCGAATCGTAAAAGTTTCACTTCAAAAATAAAATGATCAAATAAACACCGATAAGCAAACAAATCCATCGATACATCAATATTGTATGCTCCAAGATTATTTGTTCTTTTGTTCTAAAAAAAACTCACTTTTGGATTAACGGTAATAACAAATAAATACTGGATTTAATGGATACGCTCTAAAAGCCACATAATCATGGCCGGATTAATTACGAGCGATCAAAAGTTCATTTATCAAGGTTTTATCCAGTAACAAAACATACATAATATATATTGGCAGTTCTAACTGTATATAGTTGTACGTTGATAGTTTGGATAATGCTATTTCCAAGCGAACGTTACCGGTTTGAAAAAAGTATGCATCGTTCGCAACTGGCTTTACCAACTTTACCGGAATGACGACGAAACTGTTCAAGCAAGCGTGTACCGTTCGAATTTCACGTAACGCGTGGTCCGATTGGCCGTAGCTTCGCGCCTCCTCCAATCGCGACGCGGCACGACGGTGACGTCACATGACAGTATATAATAACGCGGCACGCCATCATCTGGCTCAGAGCTCAGTTGGCTTTGAAATGAGCGAAGCGTAGTATTGTTTCTGTGAGTTCTGGCAGCTCGCGCGCCCTTCGGCAGTGAGAGAAGCCGGGTGGTGGTTCTTCTTTTTTGATTGATCCTGCAGTTCAAAAATCCGGTGTTGCTTTACAACACGAAACTAGTCATCGTTTGTAGTGAGCACATAAGCAAGCATGCATCGTCAGTAAATAAAGAAGTAAAAAGCGAGAAAAGGTGGGCTGAAAGGAAGAATACCAAATCAATTTCCATCAAAAATTAAACAAACGTTCCCCGTGTGATATATCGGTAATTTACGACGAAGGCTTAACTGAGGATTTCGAAGAGAAAGGCATCGAGGAAAGTGAGAGATCGAAAGAGAGAGAGAACAAAGACTGACTAGAAGCAATTTTGCCCCTGAAGAGAATCATCGGCTATTTATTTTCTAAAGAGAATAATCGCGTTCTCTCGCTGTATTTGATTTACCACGTAAACCGTGAAACTTTTTTCTTCAACAAACCATCAGAATTCTCGATTCGTTCGAGAGTTCTACCATAAACAGCCTGAAAATTTCTTCGCAAGTTAAGAAGAAGCTCTCGAAGCTGTACCTGAAATACAAAAGAAAGATGGTCGGGAGCAATGGAACTATGATAGCGATTCGTCTTGTCCGTAGCAAATTGCGGAAACGAGAGGATCATTCGAACGCCGTGCATCCGGAGCCGGCTGTAGTCCAGACGGCAACGACGCCGCCGGTCTCGACGATCGTTTCGTCCTCTTATCCTGTCGAGGGTTGTTGCACGCAAACTTCCACGACTACGATGTCAACGGATCTTGGAAATACAACGACCATCGAACAGGATACCGTTTACGCTTCGGCCAATCCGACTGATCATATTGTCTGGCAGTTTCCGCCTCCTTATCCACCACCGACGCAGTATGCGCTGTACAACGACCAGGTTGGTAAACTGTATTCTTTTTCTTCTCTTTGTGTTACGCGTGAGTGCGTGCGTGTCTACTGTTCCCGAAGGATATTTCGTTAGGAGAGATAAAGACTTTTGCTGTCAATACACTATTAGTTTTTTTTATGATCATTTGGGTTAGGTTAAATATTAGTTTGTTTAGGTTAGGTTAAATAATTTTATTTGGGGTTTGGTAAATACTGTTTTGTTTGGGAAAGGTTTGATTAAATATTATTTTGTTTAGATAAGGATGAGTTAAATGTTTTATTTTGTTTAGAGTCAGTACAAAACTTCTGCACTTAGCTTTGAGTGAACATAGTCTTTTTTTACAATAAACGGTAACCCATCTGAGGGCTTTTATATTTACAATTTAATAGAAATCTTTTCTTCCGTAATTTTATATAATTTATTACAAAAATAATATTAATAGGTCTGCTTCGACCTACTATTTTGGTGTTTCCACTTTCTCTTCTAAAACCTGTGAAGTAATTTAGGTGAGAGTGTGTATGTCATGGAGTGTTTTTAAGAAAAATCTACTTCCGAGAACCGGTAGATTCTAAGGCCGTTGATGAAACAAACTTACTACATAATATTGAAGGTATAACAACGCGTTTCTCTCCTCGTGGTTGAACCACGCTACATTTTACCAGAAGTTGCAGCAACCGGTGCACAGCTAATACTACCAGATTTGACTAGTTTATTCCTTATCCAACGACTATTTGCTCATTATGATAATCGCTGATACTACTTCCTTTCAATGTGTTTTTTCCTTGTTGAATTATCATTTACTGGGTCTTTTACTAAATTGCTTGACATAACCTATTTTTACACTAAATTACAGTAAATTCTGTTTATCCTGTTGCAATTAGTATTATATTTTTAAATATATATTTATTAATAACTTAGACTATTTTTTACCTTCAATATTTTTTATTTTATCAAATTTTTGCATAAATTTTTGCTTTTAAGTGTACTACAATGTTTTTTTAAACATCTAAGTGTTCTACATTTGAGACAACTTAATAATATTAGGTTAACTCATAAAAGTAGGGTTGTAAAGTTAAGATGATTATGTTTAATCAGATTATAGTTATTCGTGAAAGTAAGATAATAGTTTTATAGTCTTGATGACCGCTAATATGAGCACAAAAGTTCGGACAAAGGCATCGATAAAAAATATCGCTCGCTTCGAAGGATAACAGGAAATTAGCTATGTTTTTAACCACGTTGACTTTGTTGTGTACGATGTATACTTCCTGCATTCCTACACTGATCGATTCGCGTAGAACTATACCTATACCATTTCTTACCCTCTTGTTACTTACTATATATAGACAGATGTATTAATCTACTAGCGTATGTTCCAATCAATACACCATTAATTAAAAAATCATGTTAAAAACATTTTAGAAACATCAAAATTTTAATTATCAAGCTGTCTTTATTTAAAAGTTTATTAAACAGAAAATTATAAAATTATGGTTCTTAATTCTTAATTTTATAAATTATTTTATAAATCAATTTATAAAATTATTAAATTACACCAAAGTATTTTACATTAAAAATTTGACTTCACATAAAAAAAATTTTTTATTTCAAAAAACGTATGTTTAAAAAAAGATTAGCAGAATATTGAAATTTCAGATAACGTAACAGATAGTTATTTTTGCTGCATCTTTATTTGGAACACGTGACATCTAACATTTAATATTCTGTCTTCAAAGATACTTGTCGCTAAAATAAACACTGATTTATCTCCTCAAAATGAATTATCAGCATCATTTTAACTTTTATTCTCATTTACTAAATTTTCAAATCATTATATTCAAATATGCAGAAAATTGAGGATATTTTCAAGTAATTCCTTTACGTAACTGAGCTTGTTCCTTATCAGTCAATTTTTTTATCTGTTAATGTGATCAATCTTTTTTATTAGGGGCACAAATTGTGCGATAAAAACAAATTATAAAGTCATTTTTTATCTCCATACAGATTGCATCCATTACCATTAACTATCTTGTATATTGCAAACATTTGTGAGTTTAAATAATTTCCAATTGTTTAAGACAATCTTTTTAATTTTGTACTCTTAAAGGAAAGGGTGATCTTTTGAATTTGTTCTTCATATCAGAATAAAATTACAGTTGATTTAATATTAAAATTCACAAAATAATTTATTTACCATAACTTGGTAAAATTTCTTGTTAGATAAGTTCTTGTTAGGTAATTTATTTACTGTTAACTGTTTTTATTTTTTAAACATAACAAGGTAAAAATTACAAGTTATAAATAATTTAGTAATAGTACATTTGCCACAAACAGTAGATTTTAATATTCCTGTCAATTGTTACATAATGGACATTCAGTAACTTTGACGGTAACATATATAGAGAGGAATAGCGTGTTCCGTGTATAAAGACGTATCAACGTTCCAGGATAAACCTGGTGACGGTAAGACCTTTGAAAATTGTGGTTATTAATAATAGTCGATGGCGCTATCGATCCTCCAAGGACGAGGCATACGAGCAGACGGCCTGGCAAACGAGTTGTAAGGTCGAGGCTCACTACGAGGCTTGCCGCCAGAAAAATCCCAAACAATCGGCAACGTTGCCACTTCACCGAAGCTTTGTTGCCGTTACGTTAACACCACCGTATGTTTCAGTTTCATGCTCCACTTACCGACACGAATCTTTACCGCATTTTCCATTATTATACATCTGCTAGTTTTTCAACTATTCTTATCACAAGTAGTTCTATTGCGTGTACGAACCTTTTCTAGAACGGGATATAAGTGTATTCCGTATTTAGTCACGTTACGAGTTCCGATTCTGGAATCGGTTCGCCAATCTTGATTATTACCATTTATAAACCTTGTTACGTTTATTATCTACGTCATCGACGCTATACCGGGTGTTCATAGATATGACGTTCGTTAAAACTGGCACGAGGTGACTAGTCTTGTGCGGAAGTACGATAAGATGCTCTTTCTTACGTTTCGATACGTCACAATATGATTAATTCTTACCGATTCTATCGATTTCCTGCTAGAGGTGCTGTTTTCGAGATCTCGCGACACTTGACGGTATGACGAAATGGGGACTGTTTGAATTTCAACTTAACCTAGGCGCGAAATTTTATCGTTCAAATCTATTTATTCTTGTTCGAACTTGAAACGAGTTCTTACCTCAAGGAAGTTCGGCTTCGAGTTTCGAACAAGAATAGATTCGAATGATAAAGTTACAGGGTAAGTTAAGTTAGGTTAGGTTTGAAGTTCGAACGAGAAATTTCGATAAAACACGTGTTGTATTTTACTTCGATCTTATACTCGATTCAATACTTTCGATAAATCGAATTATACGTGTTATGTTATTTTTATATGTATTAAATTACGTATTATAGTTTACTTCAATATTTTTATTTTATTTCGATCTTACACTTGATTTAATACTTTCGATAAATTGAATTATATGTATTATATTATTTTTACATATATTAAATTATGTATTATATTGTACTTCAATCTTTTTTAATTGATGTGTCGAATTATATAGCTTGAAACTCAAACGAGAATTTGTAAATCGATAAAAAATTATATATTATATTTTACTTCGATCTTTTCAGCAATTGTATCGAATTATATCGATAGTTTGAAATCCAAACGCTGCAATAGATTTAAATAAAATAACGTGGTATTTTTAATTCGATCACTCTTGAAATATAGATATACAATAATAACAGCACCTCTTCCGTATATAACGAATCTTATTTCGAAAAGTATAAAATTAGAAATGTTGGTGACGGGTTGCCTCCATTTTTTTATAGGTTATGTAACCAATACGTGGAAACGGCCGAATATTTCAATTTGTAACTATAATTACTGACGTCATCGCGTTACGTGGTACAGTTTTAGTCATACTTCGCAATATTTCAAGCTGATTCTAGTATTTTAAACATTCTAGAACACAACTGTGGCGCCGTTAAAGCGTTAACGATCGAGCACGCTGTATCGCGTGATTATGCTATACGAACCGCAACGGCACGTCTGACATATCGCGAAAGACGCTATATTTGGTGTTTTGAATGTATAGGCACATCTAAAAACCTGCTTTCACCCCTCGTGCCGTCTCTAAATTTAACGTGGGTGGGCGTCTAACGACCGTTTGCCAAGCGGCCAGATTTTGGTACAGGGTGCAGCTGTCTGGTAGTCGACAAAATAATGCGTCTCTCCTTGACGATATTGGCAATATTCCTGTAATTTTGTTATGGTATTTCGCGGGAAACACGTCCAAACGTATTTTCAATCCCTGGCCTTTACTCCGCTCCCCTTCCACCGCCACCTAAGGTCCCTGACTGACTTCAATATCTTCAAACTTCAGTTTGCACGTCTAACATTTCATGAACTATACGATTAGAAACCTGTATGCCATCGGTCGTTGAATTCGAAGTCGGCCAGTCGGAGTCCTTCCTTTGTCCGAGTCCCTTTCTAAATTCCGGTTAACAAGGATCCTGTCTCTTTTCTGTTCATGTATCATCTATCACGGTCACATCCACTTCTGTTCAACGGTTTTCGTGTTTGTTCATATTCTGTCTCTTTCTCGCTCTTTGGCCCCTGGTGGTCGGTTTCGTAACGTCGCGCCCGGATACACCAAGCGTATCCTGCTTTTTCAGTCGAGTCAACGTATTCTATGCCTCGTAGATCACTTCGTGTGATCGTATTATATTGTAAAAGTCTTCATTTGTTTCTTTTCACGGCACCTTATCACTGCGAACACGTGCGGTTCGAATTTACGGATGATTTATGAACTAACCGTTCTACACGTTTTTGTAATTTGCTTCTTATGTAAGTGTCGAACAAAAGACAAATACACGAAACAATTTTACGAGCAAGTTATAAAATAATTGAAATTAAATTATGAATGAATAAAAGCGGTATTAAATTTCTTTTGTACCGTAAGTTTTCTGAGGGTCACCTTAAATTCTACACTGATTGCAAGCTGTGTCTGCACAAAGATTATCAACGGTCAATCACGCCAATTCTCGAAAGTAGTTTTCCAATTGCAAATGTAAATTCGTGATGCGTAGTTGCGATTGTGTATAAATAACCTCGTGTGTTGTATTTCAGGATACCCTTGTGCACGCATTACCGTCGGATAGGTCTGGATTCGCGAAGGGCTTTCGTAAGAATATCGGGGGGCGCTGGCGCCGCTTGGTAAAAAGGAAGCCGGAGTCGGAGACTTGTGCCATTCCTCCTGAACTAAAGGATCAGCTAAAGACAATCTATGTATATTGACATCCAGCGTCATTGTATATATCGTTGTCTGTATCTGCGAACCTTCCACTTAGTAATCGACGCTCTCCTGCTTGTAAGATAGGGATTGTATAAATAGAAAAAGAAGAAAACTTGTATTTTAGCGTAAACGAAGGAGCGATAGGGGTTCGAATAATGAGGTAGTTTCGTATAAAATAGAAAACAAATTATGAAAGAAATTGATAAGGTCCATATCTATTTCGAGACATATCAAAAAGTGCCTAAAAATATTTTCTGTACGAATTAAAAATAACTCGATACCCTGATCTTCAATATTTTTGTGATAACATATAGAGCCACTGTTAAGATAATTTTGTATCATACACACACAGACACACCGTGAACCATGTATATCGAAAGCGTAAGCTGATGAATCGAAAAGAAAATCTTCTTTGAATATGCGAAAGGTTAGGAGTTACTAGGCTTCGATGCGCAGGGCAATGGCGTCAAAAAATCCTTATGAGACTGAAACGTAACGAGTACGACAACACGAGTTACCTCGTAGCTTTTCTGTACGTTTTTACATGATTAATGGTGAGAAATCATTTCGAATCGCTAGTATTAATGTATACCTGAGAATATACAACCGTAGGAGCTGCCTTCCTTAGGGTTTTTTCTCTTTTACATCATTTCCTTACTGGCAGCTTAGTTGTATGTGTAAATAGATGTATAAAGCAATGAAAGTATATGAACTACTTATAATTATTCTTATGATGGCCGACCGTTAAAGTAAAGTCCCGCTATTCTTTTCAAAGAAAAACGCGGGAAAACGATGCTGATACGAATACGCATTCGCGAGCAGAATCATTTCCTTAAATTTAAAAGTGGAAATGATGTAGTATTTTGTAGATACTTGTAACTTAGGCCAATTTAAGATTCTCGACATCATTCAACAGCTCATATTGAGCTCATAATTACGTACATACTGATATGATATTTTAATTTCATTATACTGAGCAATACTTTTATTTTCGGAACGTGGTGATAATTTGATCGAATTAAATTGTTAAAAATAAACTTATTTAATGATCGAACTACGTTTTATTTTAGTCAAATTATTTGTTTTTGTATTAAACGTACATTTTGTGCTTGTAAATTTATGCAATTACGGTTAAATTAATATTTATAAGCAGAACAACGGTAAAATGAAAGTAATGATAATAATGAACGCAGGGAAAATTATTTCAACAAATTATAGCAATATTTTATTGTACGCTAAAAACTACATCACCTTTTCTCGTATAGCCCAACTTTTTACTTCTTTACTAGAAATGTTGTAAAATGTAAATATGTTATGATATTGTTTGTTTATCGCCAATGTGATGACACAATATTTTAACGGGATAAGAAAAAAAATATTTTAAGAGTTAATAATGTGCCTACAACCGTGTATAATAAAATAATGTTTTTATAGATGAAATATTGATGGAAGTTGGAGTCCATCACCTAGTCACTTGATATTGTTCAAAACTTAATAATTTTCTGGCGCAGTTTGAATTTTTCCTTATAAGTATCTGTCTGAACACAATATTAAATAAAGCATTCAAAGGATGAATTCTGTATTATTTTATTTAAAAACAAACTTCTCCTTTATCCATAAGAAAAATTAGTTAAAGCTAAAAGTATTCATTTAGTTGAAATATTCAAGATTTTTCTTTCCTCTATTCCCCTCCTTACAAATCAAAAAAACTAATGTCGTTAGAGATTAGAGAGATTTTCTTCTTTTTACGTTCTTTTTACAAAACAATAATTAATAATTGGTCTATAATGAAGACCGTAGTCATTCATTCAAATTTTGGCGCGCAATTTAGATCATAAATTTAAATGTTCATAAAATAAAAGTTAATGTTACTATATTCGCAAAAATATACAAAGTTGCATTATATTGTATTGTATTAATTTGTATTAAATAATGATACGAAACGCATTTCAAATTTACATTTTTTTTATGCATAATTCTATTATTCAGTATATAACCTATATAAACATAATCATATCCTCACTTTTTTATAAAAATTGAAATAAATTTTGAAATTTAGTAGCAAACTAAAGTATTCAATATTTTTAGAACAAAAGAAACTGCGCAATGTTATAATTGTTGTCATATGACCAAACTTACATTTCCAATTATACATTCTCAAATAATTTATTTGTAAATAATATAATATAATTTAATAAATGTATAAGACTGTCGTAACAATAGGAAAAAGTGAGTAATTACTTTTTATGTCGTAAATCCTGCAATCTTAATGATATCAAGTTTTGCAGGTTAGGTTAACATATAGGTTAGGTTTTATTTTACTATCTGTATTAATGTATCATAATTTATTTGTATACTAATTATATTATGACTATTAAAGTTTAAAGAGACAAATGGCATGATATTTTTTTATGTTGATACTATTTTTCCTTTTTAATATTAAATTTTATAGGTTAAGTTTTATCATTATTCAAATTGAAGAAACGCAACTTATACGTTTCTGAATAACTCTTTGTTTAATTTAATGATATATTGTTTATTTTGTTTCTATATAATGTTTTATTCTGAATACAAATAATAATATAAAATTTTCTAATCTCTTATAGCAGAAAGTAAAAGCTACTGTTTACTTTTTGATATAGTTTCCTTCCGATACGTTTAATACATCGTTTTGTTAACATTTGTATGTTCTTATGATAGGATAACATGGCATTAATTGTTCAAAATGAGCCATGCTAGGAACTTGAGTAGTATTCTTATCATAAAAATATTTTAGTCTTCCATATACTCTATCTGTAAATATTGTTACTCGCAATTACAATTAGAAAGCATAAATATTTAGCATAGTAAATTGATTTGACAGAATAATTTTTGATAATATGTAAATGTACAATTCCATATTAATCAAATTGATATGCATGTTTCATGCTCAGCCTGAAAAAAATTTTGTAAAAATATTGGAGCATTTTGTTCTTATTTAAATGATCAATATATTATATGCTCTAGATTGTATATGACTTCATTTTATAAATATAAAACATTTATGCTATTTACAGGGTATGCAAAAGCAGTGGTATTTTTACAAAAAATGAGTACTATAGCAACAAATAATCCAGTAGAACATTCAATAAGAACAAAACTAACAAATTCTTTAAATCCATCTCATATTGAAATAATAAATGAATCATATATGCACAATGTTCCTAAAGGATCTGAAACTCATTTTAAAGTAATTGTTGTATCTGACAAGTTTGTGGACAAACCTCTTCTCAAGGTAAGAATTTGCAACATCATTGTTCTAAATTAATTTAGTCTAATTTTAAAGTTATACTAGTATTTATCTTTTATATAAGAGATTTTATCATTGCAAAGTATTTGTTCAAAAGAACGAATAGGTTAAACTAAGTATAACTAGTCAGTATTTATTCTTAGTATTAAGTAGTAAAACTTTAACATTTTCCATTTAGCGCCATCAAATGGTAAATGAATTATTGCAAGAAGAACTGGAGGGCAGCGTACACGCGTTGTCGATTGTAGTAAGTTTTATAAAAATAGTTTAAACAAAGTTAATAGAACGAAATTAAAAATTAAATCTTTCTAATTGTTTATTTATAAAGGCAAAGACACCTACTCAATGGGAAGACAATAGTAAAGTAACTCCAAGTCCAGCTTGTCGAGGTGGCTTTGGAAAATAGATCGAATTATCTTGTGTTAATCAAATTTCTTAAAACGAATAAATGAAACTCAAATGATATAATTGTAAATTGTTGAACTTAGTACGTGATGATCAATATATTTAATCAAAAATAAAAATGAATTCGAAAATAAAAAATACATTAATGTCATAAAGCAAAAGTATCCAGTCTTAATTTCCCTTCGTTTTCGGTGAAATAAAGCATATCAGCCATACATTGTTCCGCTATTGTTTCTTCCGCTCTGTCATGCATCTATGAAATATAAATAATTTATAAATTTGATACATAGATATATCTTTAATTTTATTACCATTGTACATACCCCTCTGAAAGCAATATTTGAAGGCGGATACTTAAAATTTGGCCCAAAATTCACAGAAACTGTAGCACTTTTATGAATTGAGATAGTAGGATAGTAGGCCCCTTTATTAATATCAATAAAAGCTTCTCCTTGATTTACTCCATTTTTGTAAAATATAATTTTACTTCCTTCCAGCGGTCTCAAAGCCTTAAGCGCTTCAGGTACTTGATCTTTCTCTTCATAGTAAAGATGACTTTTAAATTTAACTAAGGGCTGTTATATAAACATTAATTAAAAGACAATACAAAAATAATGTACATTGATTCGAATTTCTACTTACTCGATCCTTATAAGTATTTGGTAAATGTGATGCATCATGTGTATCAGGTAGAAGTATTAGAAAACCTAAAGTGTCACCCTCTCCATAACCATTGCTATAGTGTTTGCCTCTACTTTCATGAAATCGCGTACCCTTTCTGCCAACAGTAACATTATCTATTTATTTCTTAACGGTAGCAAAATCAACATTAAATACATATTGATTTAGTTATTCTATTATAATGTTTTAGTTCATTGTACCTAGATCTCCAAGAGTATCCAAATTTGTCATAACCAAGTGGAGCCTGTAGGTTAGCATATTCTTGACCCCAGCCTAGTCTAGTAGCCGATCCTTCGGGCATTTCTTCAATAGTAGCTTCCCAATACCATGTTCCTCTACTTACATCTGAAAAGCATCATATGTTATTAATATAAAAATTGTAAGAACGCAATTTGATCTAGTTATAAGATGTTTAATGTATGTTCATTAACTTAATTGATTCCCACATACTGTGAGTTGCTCTGACCATGCAATAGCCTTTTTCCCCAGTGACTGCCAATCTGTCCTCAGAAACTTTGAGTTGTGGAGCCCGATTGTGTAAAGCAAGCAAAACTGTACTTGGACTTAGAGCCCTATACAACCAACCAGGGATAGGTTTTCCAGCCCAATCACTACTTTCATCAAATTCCTATGAAAAGACATTATATGTTACATGATGAATTTGTAACTAAAAAGTAATATAGCACTGTACCTGTCTAAAAGGTGCATGGGGATCTGGTTCAGCAAGGATATATCTGTAACCGTCCTTATTAAAAGGATGTTCTAGAGGATATCCATGAGCAGGTAATTTAGGAGCTGTCATATCCGAACCTCTACCCTTTTTCCCAGGACCCGTACCCGCTCCTTCTCCAGGAAATTTGCGTTTCGCATTGCGACCGCGAAGGCCTCCACTGAGTGGCACTAAATATTCCATAATTACACTTATAAAACTGACTCTACAATATCAACTTTAATGGTTCACACTTTCATTATTGAAAGAGTAAACTAGCTTACTATAACAAAGTAGAATGATGTGTAAATTTGATTAATAAGTTTTCTCTGTATTGAGTTAATGATAAATCATAATACAGAATTTATTAAGAAAGAAAATGTATTAAAGTTATAGGCATTATGATCAAACAAGCAGTATGATATCGTACTGATTCATTTCTTGATAAGATAAGGAATAACTAAAAGAAAAAGATTTCTCTACCAAGAGCCAAAAGATAAAAGGAGATACAAATATATAACTTTCTTGCATATCTGCAAACATGACTACTTCCCATTTATATGTCATCAAAGAACAATAAAATTATAATTATTATTTCTTAACAATATGTAAATTTTGAACTTATTTCTTACTATAGATTTCATATTGTAGTTATACTTACTAACATGTTGAACACCCATTTCAGTTACTTTTAAATGGCCACCTTTAATCATTGCTTCATAGTTAGGTTTTATTGTTTGAAGATCAGAACATGTAAGTCCAAATAATTGACCTTCCAAAGCACTGTCATCAATAGTGAACAGTGATCCAACATCTTTTAATAGGGCCCTATGTATCTGCATTAACATAATTATTATGCTTATATTAAAAATAATTTTTAAGTGATACATTTTCAAAAAAAATATTTTATTAAACAGAAAAATACATAAAAAATTGAAAGACTGTGGTCTACAACTTAACTGTACAACTTATACTTATTTACATCAAACTGTATGTGGGCAGTTACATATTAGTAACAGTATAAAAACTAGTGATTTACCGTCGCATGCCAGGATTGAGTAACTCTGCGTGGCATAGTAGTCATACTGTCCCAATGACATTCAATGAAAGGAATAATGTCTTTGTCCTTATGAAAAAGTGTTTTCTGTTCATTTTCTTTCTGAGACATTTGTAGTAAGTTTGCTATTGCCGTTACACACATTTGTGGAAATGCTAAAACAATAAGAATTGTATAAATTTTCTTTCATCGTTTCACATAAGTATAAGTTATCAAACATATTCTTACGTGCTTGATTCTTCTTGAAACTTTCTAAACCCGTAGGGGAACAATTTTTGCACATGAATATATAATTCATCATAAAGGGTACCAATTTACCCAATTGATAACCGATACAAGATTCGTGGAACCATCTCGAGCAGCTAGCACATAGTAATTCTATAATATTTAGATTTCTGTCCTTGCCACTGAAAAATTATGCAAGTTTGTAACATTTTGCTTTAATTATTTGTATACATTATACGTATAGATATACAAATTTTAATGTTACCAATAACAATTGCTATTTTCATTATTATTCGTTCGACCATTAGGTTTTTCAATAGCATCCTCCTGTTTATGTTTTTGTTTACTTTTATCATCTTGTTTTATTTTTATCTTATCTTCCATGGATTCAATTTGCGCCACTTCTGTTTTATCGATTGGACTAAAAGAATTTATTTATTTTGAAATATAATTTATGGTATGGGAATAATACATAACCTTAAAACAGGAACTATAATAATATCATTATAACATAAAGTATTTAGCAAACAGATATAGAAAAAGGTTCATGACGATTTGCGTAAATATAATTTTATACGTATATATGGATTTTATAAATACCTCTCAATTTTTTCTTCTGACATTTTGATTCTCCTGTTATTTTTAAATTATACCACCTCTTTCTACTTCCTTTTATCTCAAATTTTAAATTATATTGTCATACAGCAGTATTTCTAACAATTGTAAACAATAACACATATTTTATTTACTAGAACGTACTGTGCAAAACTCGATTCATCACTACATATCGATTACTCGCGACCATTAATTAGATATTAGAGAGATATGGCAACTCAGCCACTCTTTCGTGTAAATTACGTATTGCAAACGTTACAGAAGAAAAGTTCAAAAAACGCAATATAACACATATTAGTATGCAGAGTATGATAATTTTATCGAATTATGAAGAAGAAAGGATTGAAACAACTATTGCGGTATTACGTTTATGTTTTATAATTAGTTATATTGTAAAAGAAAAAGAATTCAGTATTGGTATTCTTTTTCAAATAACTGTAATTTGTGTATACATAAATTACATGTATATATTTAATATTGCAGAGGCTTATACTCGTCTGATTTTAATAGTATTGTATAAATTATAGATAGTGCGGTATATAAAGGTACAAGTGCTGTGCTTTCGCGGACATTGGTGAGTACAATAGAGTCTTGTTATATTGCCATGGACGGAATTAGAGTATAAAATGATCAGAATACGCAATATACAAAGAGATGTTACATAATATACATACAATGTTTGACAGTTAACAAATTCAAACTGTTTTCAATTTTTAGTCTTCTAGATTTGTAAAATTATAATTCAAAAATTTATAAATCTATAAAATCGAAACTTACTAATAACAATTTGTGAATTTAAAAATTTTTTAATTCGAGAACTTTCACTTTTAAGTTTGAAAGAGTATAGATTTGAGAATCGAAAGTTTTATAATTAAAATGTTTGAGATCATGCGTTATGGCGGTGATGGGCACATCAATGGTACAAGTTAATGCTTGTGCGACGGTTAGCTCCACCGTGCAATATAAATAGCGGCAATATAACAAGAGTATATCGTAGTTTCTTCAAACATTGTATTTATAATATTGTAATTATTGTAATTGTTTATGAGTTGTAATTTTAATGTAAAATGAAATGTAAAATTGCTAAAATATTTAAACTACTAGGACACAAATTCAAAAATATGAGAACATTGAAGCTCCCTCAAGTGAAGCTTCTAGTTCCGCTCCTGTCTGACAGTCGTGATGTTGTCAAAAGGAAAAATCGATAATTTCAATCTATTATTAAAAAAAAAGCAAAACACCAACAGTACTGGTAACATTTATAAACTGAAGTTCATAATATGAAGACTATAAAATTCGAATCAGATAATTTTTTCCTATAAAAAAGATTTAAGAAACAATTTATATTATTTAGAGTTATATATTATTATTTAACAGTAAACTATATATAACATACTTAAATAATTTAAATTAATATCTTATGACATAATTAACATCTCTTTATTAATTTAATATCATTCTATAAAAATGATTTGATAAAATAGATATTTTAAATAGTTTAGTATATAGAATTCAAACATTCGATAAATAATACTTCGTACAATATGATTAAAAGTAAAGATGAATTTTCTAATTGTTTTCTAAGTGCATTTTAAGCACGATGTAATTACAAATGCAAATTACATCGTAATTTGTAATTTTAAGGGACGCCAGGCCATAGAAAAATGCAAATGTTATGTGCCAAGTCATGTACAGGGTAATCCTAAAAACTAGGACAAGCTATAGTTCTTTTGTAATCGAAGATGGGCAGAAGTGTTCGACAAAAACTTTATACGGTTTAATAAGGTTCACTTTCAAGCAAACTACGTAAACTACGTTTTTATCTTTTATATTCAGTGCAACTATGGCTCTCTTCTCTTAACATAAATTACATTTTTAAATTTTTATGACGTTCGACAAATTTGTTATTGCAGTTATATATTTTTTATATTATTTAAATTATTTATTTCCCTAGATTTACGTTTACTTCAAAACCTAGGAACTTCTAGGCTTTTTTTTCCTAGGGTTTCTCCCACTTTTCCTAGGGTTTCTTAGGTTTCTTCTAGGTTCCCCTAGTTTTTCCTTACTTCTCCAAATTTTAATAGATTTCCCTAGATTTTCCCTAGATACTTCTGAATTTTATTTTCTTTATACTTTCCCTAGATTTTCACTAGGTTCTGTCTCCCTAGGTTTTCCTGGGATTTTTATAAATTTCCCTAGATTTTTTAAAACTCCAGAACATCCCTAGATTTTCTATACATTCTCCACAAATTCCCTAGATTTCACAGGACTTTTCCTCACTTTGGACATATTTTATATTTCCCTAGACTTTTTTTAAACTGTCACTAAACATTCTTAGAATCTTTTTATATTCCCCCAGACTTTTTCTAGATGTCTTCAAACTTTCGTGGATTCTAACTAGATATCTTTACATTGTTCATAGGCTTTCCTAGATTTCCCTAAATATTCTCTGGACATCCCTAAATTTTTCTTACGGTTTTTTACACTTTGCTAAGACATTAGTTTAGGTTAAGTTTTTAGAAATTTTCCCTAGGGTCTTTCCAGACTTGTACTTTTTCAAACTTCCTTTAAACAGTCCCTAAACTCCTATATATTTTCAACAAGCTTTATCATGTTCCTTCTTCTTTAGTACTTCTTTAAACTTCTTTAATACTTTTTCTATAAAGAACACGAGAATCGAGTTTTAAAAAAGAATATACGTTTCTATTGAGAGTAAAGCCCCACTTCTGACGCTCGTTACTTCGCCTAACGACAGTGTTTCTATCGTCTACGATTCAGTAGCCATAAGCTGTCCCAGTTTTGTAGAGCACCCTGTATATACGAGCCAACAAAAATACAAGGAAATTTCCCTTCGGCAAACTCGGCTCGTTCACGCGTAACGACAATTTCTGTTCGAATAAATCGGCGAGCGTTAAACGACGCAAATACGTATCGGACGAAACGCCAGGAGCGAAAAGTGCCGCAGCAATAATAAGTAGTCGAATCGCAAGTTGATCCAACAAGGGTTAGATCTGTTTTGGCGCAACGTCGGATCGCCCGTAGCGTCCTCTGTCGTTAAGCTCCGCAACGAAAGCTCGAGAGGGGGGGCAGAGGGAACTGGTGGGGGATGAAGTGTAGCGAGGGAGCGTGCGTCTACGTCAGGAAAAGCTCCGAGCTTATTGGTCCCGGTCCATTGTTGCGTATTGATTGCTGCAGAGCAGTGGTATGGTCGTCGGAACACTCGGTCGTCCTCATCGCCGTCGTCGCCGTCGTCGTCGTCGTCGTCGTCGGTGGTACAGTCGAGTAGGTTAAGGAAGCGGGACACACGCGCGTTCAACACGGAATAGTTTTTTTGCCCGGTGCTCGGGGACCGCGTTTCGCCCGCGTACGATCCCATGGATTCCAGTTTGATATTATAACGATATACATATACGTAAAAAAAAAAGAAAGAAAAGAAAGAAAGAAATACAAGTATATATATATATTTATATATACACACATATAATATAATATACAAGGGTGCGCGTGCACACATCTCACACACACACACATACACGTACACGCACACACACACACACATACGCACGGAGCACACAGAACGCATCCTCAGGCGCCCACGCACGTACACGTATATGTATGTATGTGTGCATATAAATATATATACATACATGTATACGTAAACACGCGTACACGTATGTGGATACATCGCAGTGGTGTCAGTGGCTTGTTTTCTTGTTTTCTGATTCTCCCCCTTTCGACATCGGAACTACCCGCAAGATTAGCGGCGGCG